GCCCCTGCCCGGAGCTGTGGTTTGTTCTCTTTCCACTTTCTGGGTCTCCAGCCGGCTGATCCCCCCCGTTATAAATTTAGCTTAAAAAACAATTCCCACCAATCCAGTTATCAGGACAAGGGTTGAGTGGGAAGGTGCTGTTTAACCAGAGCTTTGCCTGGATACAAAATTTGGTATCTGCATCAATAGCCACAAAAAAGAGGCGTGGAGATTCACATCCTGCAGATGCGGATAACTCATGATATGCAGCGGATATATGCAAATTTGCGGGGTTCAGAATTTGTGTCCGCAGCCCTGTCTGCAAAAGTGTGCCACGGATATCTGCATCCACATCTCTGGATGTGGATACCCTGGACAAAAAGCAGTTATCTGCAGATTTGCAGGGTTTTTTACCCACGAAAGCTTATGATGATATACATTTTTTGTTGGTCTCTAAGGTGCCACAGGATTATTTTTGTATTTAAAGTTATAGACTAAAACAGCTATCCTTCTGAGACTGAAAATACAGATCTGCATTGGACTGTTCAACCAGTATTAAAGCATGGAAGGTGGTTTACAATTTCTTAAATATTTTGCCTGGACCCTAATACTTGTTTCACAAAAAGATGTTATTTGCTACAAGATGGTGTCAAGGTAGTGGTGCTTGTTGTGTATAGCCCAAATCCTCCCTTTCACCTTTAGATGAGATGGACCCATTAATAAAGTATGCAGCTCACAAGGTGTCTCCATGAAAAGTTTGATGGGTAGCCGTGTTAGTCTGTATCTTCAAAAACAATGGAGTTTTGTGGCAGCTTTTAGGTTACGTCTACGCTGATGAGTCTTGCGCAAGAACATATGCCTACTTAATGAACTGGCATTTTTGTGCAAGGGGTTTTTGCACAAGAAGGAGCAGTGTAGACTGCTCCTTCTTTGCGCAAAAGCCCCTTGCGAAAAAATGGCAGCTCATTAAGTATGCAAATGAGGCATGGTGATATTCATCACCGTGCCTCATTTGTATATGTTCTTGAGCAAGACTGACCAGTGTAGACATAACCTTAGAGACTAACAGATTTATTAGGGCATAAGCTTTTGTGTATAAAACCCACTTCATCAGATGAAATGGTGTCACCATGTCAGAAGAGAAAGTAACTGTACTATCATGACCTACTCCCTCTTAGAGAGCAACAGGTCTGGGGGAGGAATACAGGCCATTCTCGCTATAAGTCCAAGATATGTTCCAAAAAACTTGGACTTATAGTGAAACGACTTAAAATGGGGAATTTTTTTTCCCACGGCTGACTTCCAGTTGTGCAAATTGGGTTGGTGGTTCCCTCCCCCCCAATTGATTTAAGAGTGGGGAATCGGAGGACTTCTAACTCATCAATTCCTACAAGCATCAATGACTTTAGTGCAGAACAGATGTATATTGGGGCGACTTAATGCAGGGATGCCCTGTACAACAGTACCAGGAAGAAATTTAAATGTGGGATGGAGTGTGGGGAGTTCAGGGCAGAGGGTTGGGATGTGGGAGGTGCAAGAGGCAGGACAGAGGGCTGGGGACATGGGGAGATGCAGGAATCTGGGTTGAGCTGTATAAGGGGCTCAGGGCTCCCCCCCCACACACCGTCCCCTATGACAAGAGCAAGGCCAGGGTCGGGCTGCCACTGCAGGACTGGCTCCCAGTGCTGCTCTCTCCACCCCCCGTGGCTGGGCCAAGCCGTCACAGTAGGAGTGGGGCCAGGCCACTGCAACCTGACAAGGTCAGATGCTGCTCATGGCTGGACAAGGACTGATGTCGCCCACAACCATGCATGGGCCATGGCTACTCCCTCCTGGCCAGACGGGCCAATGTCCTCCCCCCAGCCAGGGCCATGCTGAGCTGCTGGGGCCATATGGGGCTGCCACCAGCAGCATGTATCCCCAGCCGGACCTTCTAAATTGCCTATTTCCCTTCCCTGGCTTCTGATGTTGCAGCAGAGCAAAGAGTCTCAGCTGCTTCTTGCCGGAATGGGGCACCAGGGCACACCCCTTTATTTTCATCTCTGCTCCATGTGCTACATTGGAGGCCAGTTAGGCAGCATCTCTTAAGGCAGCAGTGTTTTGGGGGCACAGCAGAAACAGAGTAGGGTAAAGAAGGAGCAAGTTGATTGACAACTGCACAGTAGGGATGTTAAGTAGCATTTAATTCAAGAAATTTCCATCAACTGCTTGATTAGTCAATAAGGGGAGGGGCACTTGCTATCCACACTGTGGCTCAGCAGTTTAAATGTAGTAGGAGTCAGGCATTCAGGCACCCCGGCTCCTGCTACATTTAAACTGCAAAGCCATAGCCAGGTTAGCTCTCAAGGGCAGCACAAGCGAGGACTGAGTAATCCCAGCTCATGCCAGCTCCAGGGCCTCTGCCTTTTACAAACATTCTTCCCTACTGTACTTCCGGATCAGAGTTCTTTTGTGCTCAGCTGGGAACAGGGCTGAAGTTTATATTATGTAATCTTTATTCAGAACATTACTGTGAGCAAAACTAAGTGCAGTTTTGTTTTAGGTTACACTAT